ATAGTAGTAAAAGCCGTAAAAATAGTTGTAGTAATAATAGCTGTAGTATTAGTAGTAACAGTAAAAATATAAGTAGTCGTAGTAGAAGTAGAATAAATGTTGAAAGAGTTATAATGAAGAGAGATATTGCTATACATGCTAAACGAGAAAATTAATAAAAATTCAGAAAACACTTCGCGAAGGATTCTGAAATCTGAAATGTAATTCTGATATCGGTGTATCCTTTCCGCATTAGCACTTGAATCAATTCTTAACTTGATGAGCAAAATAATTTATGCACATTGAATCCCGTTGACCTGCATAATAATTGTATTCATTATTCAAGTATTTTCAACAGCTTGCTCTTGAGTTTCCAAAACTACAAAGTTACTTGCAAGCATTTGATAAAGTTATTATGTCAAATTTCCATCAGATACAATGCAAAATGCCTGCCTCTGGATAAATATGTATTAGGCTAACGAAGATATTTCAGGCTTTGAGCTAGAGACCAGAAGACTTTAAATCAATTATGTGAACAAATTGGGGCAGCCTTGTATGTTTTTGACTTGAATATATACCTGGATATGTAGACATCTATAGATATCATTAATATCTCATTTAGGCTAACAATTGCATTGAGCGCATTTCAAATAGATTTTGTGCACTAAATGTGGAGCGCATTGTGTAGAATGTCAAAGCTAAATGAACACATGCAGCGCAGCTTTGTAGAGCTAAACTAATGAAAATCGTTTCAATTGTGGCAGTGGCAGTGGCAACAATTGCGACGAGGAGACATCGAAGGGCGTTGTTGCAAGATTTTCAGTTTCAATTACAGTTCAAAACTAATTAGTTTGCCTAAAACAATAAAGCCAAAACATTTTGCATGCTAATCGCTTGGTTGGAATTTGTGCAGCTGCTGCTGCAACTTCGACAAGAGAGACAGGGAGTGAGAGAGAGAGAGAGAGACGGAGAGAGAGAGGAAAATAGAGGTCGTTGTTTGACATGCTGGTCAGGCCTGGCAGACAGGCCTACTTAATGCTGCATGGCAAGCAGCCTTTTGGTCTGTGGCTCGCATAAATAATGCGTATGCAAAACAATAAATGCACAAGTGCATCCTGGGCGCCTGGCATATCCTGTGTGTGTATGTCTTTTGCAACCAAATGACCAAATATAGCAGTTGCAGCTGCAGTTTGAGCCTCACAACAAATGCAAATGCTAAACTTTCCAAATGGGTTTCGCCAGGAGTTTTTGGGCGTTGGGGCGTTGGGGCGACGGTGACGTTGACGTTGACGTTGACGTTGATGGACATGTGCGGGACATTTATGGCATGTCCTGCTGCGGCAGGACACTTGACAGCCAGCACAAGCAAAGGCCTTGATGCATATTCATAACCAAAAACTTGTTACATTCTGCACAAAACACAACTTTTGCATAAGAATAACCCGAAAAACAGAAAGAAACAGGCGAAAGCTGAGCAATTGCAATTTGCCAAGTGGCAGAGCCCAGGTGCAGGTTGGCTCGATGAATTTAGTAAAAGGCTTAATCAGTGCTGTGTTTGGGTGGGTTTCTAAGCGCTCGCTTGTTGCCTTATCGTGCAACTGTCAATTGCTTTTTAATAGCGCAAATACATATTTTTGGCAACAGTGGCGATAGTCAAATGAAATAGGAGAGCAAGAACGGGAACGCAAGATTGATAGATATAGGTATGCAGACACTTAAAATGTAAGTAAGCCAGACTTGACAAGCCATTGACTGCGTATAAAGTGAAATATATTGCTGCAAATGTTTAGCAAATTAAGGATATATAAATTTAGCTATTTTTCTCAGAAGAATTCACTTACTTACAGCTATATGTATACTCTGGGACAGCTACATAAAACAGCTCTTTAATTGTTTTGTGATAATCTCAATGGAAATTTAATTCTTGTGTATTATGGCTATGATCAAATGTACATATATATGAAGCAGTAAAATATGTTACAGGCAAACTGATTTCAACTCTCATGTCAGCTAGTTATATATATTAGAGCAACCCAGAAAAACTTAGAAAATATAGATAAATTATAAATACTGAGGGAATTTTCTTCATTTGCCTATAGATGCCCTAAGTTTGTTTAATTAATTTAATAATTTTTTAACGCCGCTCTTACGATTTTAAACTGAAGTTAGAAAAGTTCGTAAGCAAATGCTCCAACAGCTTACAGAAGTGATGTATACAACGTACTTTTATAAATATTATCCATTAATACTAAAAAAAAATACCAATAGACCAATATCGAATTTAAAGCTAAAAATAAAAGTTTTTTCATTATTTTATATGAAAAATTTATAAAAATTCATCTAGGGAATCTTCTGGTCTTTTTATAATAACTTTGACAATAGATATTGCGTATACAAGAAAAAAATCATCTCAAACAAACATACTGTTAATTAAATTGTAATATCTTAAATACCGAATGAGAGAGGGAGAGACAGAGACAGAGAGAGAGAGGGATAAAGAGGGTCCTAAGATAGCCAGAGAAAGCTGTCAGCTGCAGGTCAAATTGAAAGAAAATGAAAATAGTTTTTGCAGCAGGAGAGCACAGCACAGCTCCTGCTCCTCCAGCAGTTGAACAATATTTTGCATCTTCCAGCTGACAGTGTAATTTGATAAATGCTTCAGCTCAACTAGTTTGAAGAGCTAAAAACAAAAACCTCAGAGCTTCTGAGAGTGACGTAGGTAGAAAGGGTGATATTGTTATGCAATCCGATTGGCTGTCAAAAAGTTGCATGCAAATGTATTTTGTATGCAAATCATTTTCCTGGCTAATAAACGAGTGCTTTCAATTTTAGTTTTGAATAATTTGCCAGGATAACAATCTAGTATATCGTTACAAATTTTGTGCAAAATATTGCATATTCATGAAATGGAAACCGATAATTTTCTGTGAGGGCTAGATAGAACAATTTGTTGTCAAATTAGCTTCTCTATTTCTCACACTTTATCAGCGCACTTAACTTGCGTTCACTAAATTCTTGTCACATGCAAAAAACAACTTGAAAAGCCGCTAGACAAATGGCTGTGTATAAAACCATTCGTAGTACGCGCAGTTTGTCATTGGGGTTTTCAACTTTTTTCAGTGTTTCTCTTCTTCTTTTTCTTTTTTTTAGCTACAAACGAATGCTTGCCCCGAAATCCACTTGTACAAATATTAATTTTCCGCCACTGTCGCCAGCGCTCGAACAACAGCCGCAGCGCAAGCCCAAAACATGGCTAAGAACATTTTGCACATAATTCTTTCCAGCCGCAAAATAATACAAAAAAAAAAGTCCAACTTAAGAGGCAAAAAATAAAAATGGGAGAGAGGCAGCAAAAAAACTTTTGCTGCACACAAAACGAATTCATAATTCATTGAGCGAGACGCAGGAAGTAACGAAAGGAAAAGATAGGGCACAGAGAAATGGGCCTCAGGGCCTGGGACCTCAACTAAGAGTTCTGCCACTGTCCGCCATATCATTTACGCCATGCAGCCCAAAGTGTGTGAGTGTGTGAGCGTCGGCATATGTACACCCTGTAAAAAATTGGCAGGCATATGAGAGACTTAGGCTTTTGAATATATGCTATATGTGGAGCTAGGCGGAATATTGAAAAGAGCAGGGAAAATAAATTATACTTAACCCCAGCAGATCAGTATGCCACAAAAAAACTACTAGGTATCTATGATATTTTATATTTATAAAATTAGATAATGAAATAATTCTCGAAATTAAGCTATGGTAACTTTTCGTCTCTCCACAATTTTATAATTCTATTTTCAGTTTCATTTTTGTTTTTTCTTCTGTTTCAACGATGAAAATTAATTTGCTCACGCGCCAGTCGAGAGTCGCCTAGCAGTCGTTGTCGCTCAAAAAATTGGTTTCATCTGCAATGCGACGCGGTTCGCTTAGCCGCAGTGTCCACATTTCAACCGCGTCCCGCCCAGCCTCCTACGGAAATATGCGAAAATGGCATCCATTTTATGCACACACAACTCGTGTGGCGGCTAGCGCATAAATTTCATAAAATTTCATGAAATTCCATACATCAATATAACGATTCGAATAGGGGCCAATAGGGCCAGCGAATATCTTTATAAATGGACATAAAGGGCCTGGCGGCGTGCACTTCAGCTGATTAGGCAAACAAGAGGACGAAGTGACTGAGTGAGTGAGTTAGAGTGTGATGGGTAAAAGTGCAAAAGAGACAGAGGCGAACGCATAAACCCGCACAAAAATGCAATCAAATTATTTACAGCTGCATTGCAACACGCAGCGTATGCGCAATATTTTTTTATTTCACTTGGCAAACAGCCAAAACGAAATAGCTATGAAAAGCGACAACCAGTTTTAGCCTTTTGTGCCCGTGCCCAGGTGCTAAATTAAATATCTAAATATATATATTTTTCGTCTGGCCGCCAAGTGAACCATCAAATGGTCTGCCTGTCCACGCCAACAATTTCACCTGACCCTGGGCGCTTCTCTCTTTTATGCAACTCAACTTCTCCTCTTTTCTTTTTTGGCCAAACTCAATTGCAGTTTACACGTTGCTCTGTGCACTTTGCTTTTTATCTTTGGTGGCATCCTGAACATTCCGACATTTCGGCTCTCAACTGTCACCAGCTGCTGGCCCTGAAGACATTTAGCAAGCTGCAATTTGCTCAACAAACATGTTTATTAAGTTGTCTGGGAGATAAGTTTAGCGGAATGGTTAGGCAGGCTGGAGAGTTTAAGTTGAA